GACGGGTCTAATACAAAAACCACGAAAAAAATGTCCCAAGTCAACCTATTCGAAATTTAAATTGTAATGTCATCGCAGTATCGCGCTGTCAGTAGAACAAATGAAGACTGTCACGCTCTGTATACGATTTTAGCGCCTTACAAGTGCGGACACTTTTTAGCGCGGACCCGACGTCCATATAATTGTAAGTCAATGATTTTAACCCACTTTTAACACACGAGCAAGAAACTCTAGGGATTGCTCTTGTGAAATAAACTTAAATGCTATAGAATACACTTTGAATCAAATTTGTGTGGAATCTAGAGCCATGTCGTCTTTCCATACATCTTTATCTAACACGTAGTCTTCAATTTTGTAATATGACTTTTCAATTAAAATACGTAACTACTCAGTTTTTAAACTTAGGAAATGATAATCTTAATATAATGCTCCGGAATTTTATTGTAAAAACGTATTCTTACCTTGGTTAAACGAAATCGTAGTATCATGAGTTTGGACTTAGCTCTAAGTTTAATATTATGGATATCTTCTTTCTTAAAGAAATAAAACTATAACTTTAAAAAAAAAACCGATTTCAAATCTTCCGCGGCCTCCGCAACGACAATTGAAACGCAGATGGGAAGTCTAGTCAAAACAAATCATATAATAATAACAGAACCCAACCACAAGACTGTTATTGCCATCATTAGATTGCCTCTAGGCACGATAAAATTTTATTTTCATTGGCATTACACGAGCTCGTGCGGGCACTCGCGAGCTCGCGCTAGAAATCGTGTTTCCGTTTCAGAGTATCCCTGTGCGCTTGCTTGCAATACGGTTCAATATTACATCAACATATAATTCAATTCTCATCTCGGTCATCCTCGTCAATCAAGGCCATTTCCAGAAGAAGTTAGCTCAAAATCACTCAACGAGTCAGGGAGCGAGCAATACTCGGCATTTCTCTACGCTACGTGATCGAATCAGAAATGAGGAGATCCGTAGAAGAACGAAAGTCAGCGACATAGATCAACGGATTAGCAACTTGAAATGGCAGTGGGCAGGGCCAATAGCTCGTAGAACTAACGGCCATTGGGGTGGAAAGATACTCGAATGGAGACCACCAATCCGAAGGCGTATTAGATGGACGGACGAGCTAGTAAGGGCGGCGCGTAACCGATGGATGCACGTTGCGTCCGACGGGCTAGTCTGGCAATCATTGGGGGAGCCTATGTTCCGCAGTGGACGTCTTCCGGCTGATATGATGATAATGACCCTGAGAAATCCAAAGATAAATACAAGACATTTAAGAAGAAGCACATTGGAAAAGCGAGAAAAATGCGCCTCCTTGTAGATGGCAGATATTCCTCGCAAGCTCAGTTTAAAGCACCATGTAACGCGGAAGAAAGAAATTAAACTGATAACCGATTTTTCCCCTGTTGAACAATGTACTATTTTCATTAATAAAGTAATAATAATAATAATTCATGTATTCGCTTCAAATAGACTAGGGTACATTATACATGTTGATGGTAAAAATTAAATCAGCACTCAAACCTATTCGGCCTTCTTAAATAAAAGCATGCAAATAAAATAATTAAATAATACACCCTTAGATAAAGGCTTAACTTACACTGGCGCAGAGTCGAAGCGTCGCAGCGTGTTATATTTTTCGCCTATAGCATATTCATCTCTATTTTCCCATAATTAAGGTATAAATTCGTGTTATGCATATATGGAGTCTATGCGCGTCAACAAGTTGTAGTTGAAAAGCAGGACGCGACGCGACGCTTCTACTCTGCGCCACACAGTGGGCCCAAATTGATAATCCTTGGACATAGGAATAACTTGTGGAGTATCGAGCTAATTTTTATGTGATAGATAGTAACATTCCTAACAACTTTTATTCTTGTATAATTTCTTGAAAAGTTGATAGTTTCGGAGAAAAAAAATATGATTTTTTTGTACTTAAAAAATGTATGCATCAACTAATTAGTCCTTATATTTCATGAATCAACTGAGTAGAACAAATGATCAAAGAGCCACATATAAAGAGCGTGAATTTCAAACTTGATAAAACCTGTATTGAAAATCACCGCACATTATTCGGATTAATGTTAAACCAGCTCAGGAAAGGATGCAGAATCATTGTTTAAAGCAATGTCACAAGATTTACAGATTATTTACTTAGCGATGACGCGATTATCAATGTAGATTAAGGACTGGTTTATCAATACAGATAGCAGCTGATAAAACTTGTCAACAAGTGAATGCCATAAACATAATTGCTTTTTTACTGATGGCAGGGATCTGCAATACCTTCATCTTATATACCAGATAAAACTATTTTTCTATCTATTGCGTTTTGAAGGTGGACATTATGTATGTACTCAGTTACCGACACTGGTTGAATTTAAAAAATATCAAAAACATCACACTCGTGACACTCGTATTTTAATGCCTAATTATGTACAGGGACATACACTGCTTTATCTATACACATATATGTGTATACACTCTTTATGATGTGTTCTGGGGGCCTACCACAACCTCTTAAAACAATATTACTTTAACCTTACATTGAGTCTTCGTACCATAACGCGATTAAAGTAATCTTATTGTAATGTTAAAACTATGATGTTTTATTGGCAGCTTTGTGACTATTCCTTCACTCAGTTCGTACCATGACGCGACTTTGACATTAAAGTAATATTGCTCTTATGTCAAATTTAGCAATCTTAAAATAGTTACACGGATGCAATGGAAACAATATTATTTTCAGCTTTATTGTCTTCGTATTGATTTGTAATGATTAAAAGTTAAGTTGAACTAATTTATTTACATATATCTCTTCAATATTTTGTTAATTTTTTATTTAATAGCACATAGGAAATAATTTCTCGTAAATTAAAAATACGCGATGTTTATTTCGTAAAATTGCGCCATCTATATGCTCCTTGGCGAAACTAACAGTTGACACTAGACTATAGTTCCGAATTCACAACGTGACTATCAAGACTCAGCTTGTTTTATTTATTTTTCTCCATGAGAATGCGGAACAAAAATTGAAAACAACGTAATTTTAATAGATTTCATTATTACATACTTTTCTTTTTTTGGCAGTTAAAATTCTCTGAATGTAAATAACATTAGGTACTTTAACATTATACTACGATAACACGATTCGGAACATCAAAAAAGAAAAAGATGGCATTATACAGTTCATACAGCGTTCTTTCTTTCCTATTTTTAGTAAGGAATGGACAATATTGGGAAATCACTCGTTTTTCAGTCATTTAAGCAATAATACATTTCTTGGTAGACATGTTTGTCATGGTACGAATATGAGTAATATTATAACGAGCTTACTGTAAGCTTACATTCAAATGAGATTGTTTTTGGAAAGGTATGGTAGGCCTCCAGGAACCGCATGTTGCGACTGGCGAAATGGCGGCAAATAAAAACTTTTCTCACGCATGTCACACAAGCGTAGTTTTTTTTAATTCATAGACCAACTAGAGTTGGCCCCAACTATCATATCGTTCGATATCAAGTAACGTGTGAAGTTTGTCAAAATTGTTTGCTATTGACATTTCATTTCGAATGAAACTTCATCTCGACTGATATTAGAATTGAGGTCCAATCAAATTGTTTTGTTTTTCAGAGATGTTCGAAATTTAAATGTATAACATCGAATTTGATGTTATTAAGAAGCAATAATAACATTTTCACAGATAAGAAATTTGTTCTAACAAAACAGTTTATCTTTATGCTAATCGTAATTTGCAGTTTTTGAACACGTCATAGAGGGTTTAATACATAGATTTATTATTAATATAAATTAATTACAAATAGGCATCGTCAAAAAAAAAAGGTAGACACAAATATAAATCAGCAACAGGCTTCGTCATATAAAAATCAACGCTATTCGCCAGATCTACTTATTTTTATTTTACTATAACAATCTTAGAATAATAACGCATAGAATGATAGTTTCATATCAAACGAACTGTCACAAGTGAGGCAAAAATCAAATTCACGTAGGCTAGTTTTAGTAGTAGGTTAATTTTCGGTTTTAGTGAATATTTATATAAAAATACAAGTTGAAACGCGTTACTTCCTTGTGGAATGTGATGATGAACATAAAATAGATATTAAATCAATTCTACGTTTGTCTGACGTATTTTTACACTCATTTACCGCACTGGCGTTACTGCGCAGACTGGCCAACAAAACTTATTGCATCAGGTAAGGTCCAGAGCGTGATGACCCTAAACTTAAATTAAAATAAAAAACCACCATACACCACATTTTTTTGAAGCACCGAAACCGGATTCATCCCCTAGTTTGTTACCCTTAGAAAAGGAATATTTTCTTCAAATTGAAATGGGGCCAATACTGACGTACCCTCTTGCCAACAAAAAACAAAATCATCAAAATAGGTTCACAAAGGAAACGGGCCGGAGTTATCGCGTAACATACATACAAACCTCCTCCTTATTTGATGTCGTTTAAAAAGTCAATAAGATGACAAGATAATGATATACTTTAAATTATAAAACCTGCCGAAGCATCCCGAAGGCTGCCGAGACAGTCCAGAGACTGCCGGCTCGGTAACCCAAAGCTTACCGCAGCTTTATTTTCGAAGATACAACCATTATCATTATTAAATATAAATCTGTAAGTAGTAAAAGTAATTAGAATGTAAACATTGTGAGTGTACAAATTTCTAAAGGTGGCAGTACAGGTTTACCATCAGATGGAACGTCTTTATTTAAACCATTACCAGTCCTGGACCTGTGGTTTACTATCAACCTTTTCACGACAAACGATTGCAAAAAATTCGCATCAATGGCATTACAAATGTCCATTTTGAGCGTGCCTGTGTTGCCACGAGATACCACACGTATTATTATTGTATGCAGACATCCTGCCCCTTTGTTATCGCTTGGAGTATTGAAGCCGGCCATGTTTTATTACGCCTTTTCAAATGTAAACAAACTTGGAGTTTTACAAGAACGATGTCACATGATTGTACTAGAAACGATTATCCATTATGCCGCAATCTTTTCCAGGAGCGTCATAAAATTGTGACAACAAAAATATATGGATGCTTGATCCTGGGGTACAGTGCCCTAAAGAGACTACCGCATTGTCTTGGTTATGGACTATTGCCTCTTACGTTCTGTAGGACAAATTCTGGTATGCGCGCTCCTCTAAGGCGATTATTTCTTAGTTACTAAATTATAATCTACCATTGTCGGAACTAGATATTTTTGATCTAAATAAAAATTCAAGAAGGCGGTTGCCGAAACATTAGGCATGGCAATTTAGTAGATTGAGAAATTGTTTTAAATATGTTTTTATATTTTTGTAGTAATCTGTGAATGATGTGGTTGATTGTACAATTTTCAATACGGTTCTTCGTACTATGTATAAACTCACCTTGTACAATTGTTGGCCGTCTCTCCATAAGATGTACTTATGATTAAAACTATACCGTTCTGCTGATTCCAGTGCTTCATCACAGCGGGCGTGTCTTTGAATATTGTTGGTCACGGATGCGTGATCGGGTTCAGCGCAGTGCTGATCCCCAGTTTGCGACTGCCTGAGTCACACATTCACGCCACACCGGCGGAGGAGTCATGGATCGGTACGTCACTTTGGAGAATAAAATAATCAAATAACAAAATTGTGTGATCTTTCGACCTTACTACAGATTAGTTAAGGTTGAAACACTTGCTCAATAACAAAACGAAATAACAGTTAGGTACATGAGATATCCGGTGAAATCGCTTGCCCGACCTCTGAGAAGTCATAATAAGATCATAAACATGAAAAAACAATACACAGCAATCTGCAGATTATACAATGATAACTTTCTGTTAACAGGTATTTTAATTTGGTTTTTTTAGTGATAAAATGAACAATATTTTGTGAACAAATATTTAAAAGCCGGTTTTACTTACCTACTATGTATATCAACACTAACCGATATTTTTATCAAATTTCAGCATCAGTGATCGGCTTCGCACTCATCATGGGCAACATTATAATCACCCCTTTGATGGATACGATAGGCCGCAAGAAGTGCCATCTCTTGACCATCATCCCCAACATGATTGGCTGGATCATGCTGCAGTTGGTCAACAACGTTGCTGGACTTATCACGGCTAGAATTCTACAAGGAATCGCTATGGGTATGCTAGGGCCATTAGGGTCTATTATAATAGGGGAAATGACAGATCCAAAAAACAGGGGCGCCTTTCTTACTTGTGTTTCCCTGTCGTTAACTACAGGAGTTCTGGCTTCACATGCTTTAGGGACTTATTTCAGTTGGCAATACACAGCTTTGATATGTTCATTTGTAACCTTCGCAAGTCTGATCTTGATCATCTACAGCCCAGAATCACCATCTTGGTTGATTTCTAAAGGAAGATTTGAAGAGGGTCGAAGAGTTTTCCTTCGGATAAGAGGAGAAACCGATGATCAAGAGGAAGAATTAGAACATATGATCTTAGCCCAAAAGATGGCCAGAAAGTCTAGTGTCGAAGGACAAAAAATAACCTTCGGAAGGAAATTAAGAAGATTCTGCAGCTATCTTGGTGAAGCTTCACGAAAACCTGAGTTCTACAAACCAATTACCCTTATGTTTTTAACATATACCATGTTTCAATTCGCTGGTATTAATGTTATAAGTTCATATACAATGGATATTATTGCACAAGTTGTAGGTCCGGAGGCTAATGCCAAATTCTGGATGGTTGCATTAGATATAGAAAGACTTATTTGTAATATTCTTGCTGTATTCTTGATGAGAACTATGAAACGACGTGTATTACTCTTCAGTACTGGCGGTTTATGTATTTTAAGCTACTTAGGTAAAGCGTATTATGTATTTGCAAAAGAGAATAACACGCTACTGTTTGATGGTCAGTGGATACCCATAACATTAATTGCATTATATATGTTTTCTTTAACGGTAGGTATATCGGCAATTACTTTTGCGATTTCGGGGGAAATCTTTCCATTACAATATCGAGGTTTGGGAGGAGGATTAAGTGTATTAGGTTTATCTTTAAATTTCTTTATAGCTGTCAAATGCTTCCCAGTGTTAAATGGCAGTATCGGATTGCCTTTAACATATTGTCTATACGCTGGTATAGTTTTATTGTGCCTTGCAGTCATATGGTTCATGTTACCTGAGACCAAAGATAGAACTTTGCAGGAAATCGAGGATATTTTCAGAGGTATTTCTCCTAAAGATAAAAGGAGTGCGCGACCATTAAATGCGGCAGCTGTTAGTCAAATGAGAAGGTGTAGTTCTGTTAGCTCGCATATTTTATACTAACTGGTTGTGTAGATGAAATCAAATTGTATGTGTAATTGTAATGGCTGTTGTATACTTTAAAGTAACAGATGGACTGTGTCGCAGAAATCGCGAGTAAGAACATTAGAAATTTGAAAATTTTCTTGACACCACAGCACAAAGCTGGTCGGACTTAGCGAATTGCTGTGGAGAAGGAAATATGGGAAAAGTTCATATTTATATTTGTAAAAGCACAGGTTTTTAGGTTCAATTGTCGCACATAGGAAATGAAACAATTTTTCGGATCTAAAGCACGTATTTTTTCAAACTAACCAACTTTTTGGGGTTTACGGTTGCTCAGCCGTATATAGTTTAGTCATTTAGTGCTGGCGTTACGTAGCGTCGCTGCGCGGACGTCTCGTATCGACGCTGTGCGTGCGTAGGTTAGACGCTGACGCAAAGACGCTAGTGTGGTCTAGCTAGGTCTGGCTAGGGGGGTCTCTACCACCTTCTTACAAGGTAAAGCTCCTTAAAACTAGATTTAAAAAAAAACATAAAAGTTAACGACAATTCTTCTGAGAAATTGTCATTTCGCAGATGTGTTGTTGTTGTTTGGTGTATGTGCGTTTTTTTTTAGATTGTAACTTGTTGTCGAAAAACAACTGTTCCAGGAGGTGTAAATTCTGTAACAAACCTCTTTGTTTCGAATAAATCATAAAACTACTTCCTAACCTATAGTCTGTCTTTTTTGAAGACTGAGTAAAATGACATTTGTAGGTTTGCCAGTTTTCATAAAATTTTAAATAATTATGAAGTTGTTGTTGATGTTTTTATCAATAGATTGTGTTTATTCTTATTTTGAAAGTTGGCCTACTAGTATTGAGATGAATTTTTATTTATATACATTTTAAGAAAAATTGCCGTCTTTGATTATATTATATGAAAAACTCTAGAGTATCTTCTCTTCGTATTTTTAATAAAGTTAATTCTAAATACATTGTATATAATATATATGAATTATTGGATGAATGGGTCGAGTATGATTCAAATGAAACAAGTTCGGCTATTTATTCAATAAGTGTGAGCAATATTCTGTCGATAGTCGATAGAATATTTTATCGACTGCAATCACTAGCTTCTCTTTTGCACAATGAACTGTCATTTTACTCCGTTTTAAAAAAAGATAGACTATAAGTACTTATTATTGTATTCAATATTCTTTTAGACTTACCAAATACCTTTTTTATAATAGTTAACGAATTTACAGGGTCTGATTTTCTTTGGATGTATTGCGAGAGTAATCCTGAACACTAATGACAGATTTACAGTAAACTCTATTTATACTAAAATAGGGACGATTGTTACATTAATTTGTAATAAGAAAAATGCGAATGACTAAGCCAAACCCTTGATTAAAAGGTCGATGAACGTGAATCACGTATGCGTTTTAAAGATTACTAATGAATAAGTATATAGATAGACAATAAATATATAAGAAAATGGCGCGTGTAATGAATTGTTCTGACAGCGCCGGTGATAGTAAAATGTTTTGTATAGTGAACCCATCGAATATATAACCGGAAATAAAGACGATCATTCAATTCGTTTGAAAACTATTCTCACTTCAAATTTTTTAGTTTTGTAATTAGATGTTTTGCTGTTTTTTCCATACCACCGATCGTACACACAGGTCAGTTGTTGACGCTGTATATTTTCAGCTTTCTAATTTGTGATTTCAACATTTAAAAGTGATATCAGATCCGTTTTTCTGATGACTTGCAGGAAAGGATGGCCCCTATTTCGTCTCTATTTCTAGTTATATACTCGATGACTGAACATATCAAAAACTATTTATACTAATAATATAAGAATTGTAGAAAAAAGTAGGACACCGTGAAATTTTGATTCGGTAATAAATATTTATGATATTAATAAAAATGTCAATACAGTGGAGATGTAGGAAATTAAACAATTTAAATCAATGTTTGTACTTTTATTTCATGTCATGGTACTATGTTTGACCAAGAAGTTAAAGAGCTGCTAATCTCCATAGTCAGATCGTAACTCTGAGAAAGATGAAAATCCCGTCTTATGTCTAGACAGCGCTGATCAATAGCATGGAAGTGGTTTGTATTATGTAAATAGCCATGGATATCTATTAATTCCTCTTTAATATGAAATACCCCGATAAGATTGCTGTACCCACTAGCTGGCATAGCCCCACCAGATATCCGCATAAATGTAGCGGCACCTTGCGAAAGAGCAAAAATGGAAAGTTTTAGCCGGAAAAGTTTTGTCAAATGTGTCGATCCTCTGAGTATTGATCTGGCTCAGGCTAGGTGCAACCTTTGGCGCGAAAGAGAACCATCTACGTTTGTCCCGCCTTCCGAGAGTCTTCCTCCTGGACACCTCTTGTCATGGCTGATCTGGACGTCTTTGAATAGGAAATGAATTCATTTCCTATGTGTAACAATCGCGAAAACCTAAGAACTCGATATGTCTTTGAATAGGCTTCGAACTTAGGTTGGTCGGAGCAAGGACAATTTGTTCAGGTAGGGATTTCCGGATGGTTCTAACCGGGACTGCTTGTGCGGTGCGACTCAAACGATGCCCGCCTCATATCGTGCCCTGCGTGCCCTAACACCTGCACGCTTCACGATTTAATGGCGGCAGAGACGCGGCCGGCGTGGCCGATTTCTGGGCTATAACAGCATAATGTATGTCATCGATACTATAAAAAGAAGAATATGAAATATGTCAGTATTTAACCGACTTCAAAAAGAGGAGGTTCTCAATTCGACTGTATGTTCTTTTTTTTTATGTATGTTACGCGATAACTCCGGTATTTGTGAACCGATTTCCATGATTCTTTTTTTGTTGGAAAGGCGGTACTTCCAGAGTGGTCCCATTTTATTTTGAAGAAAATCATCCACCTCTACGGGTGGCTGTTCACGCATGAAGATTCATTTTTATAAATAGCGCCTAACTTTAATTTAGGAGCAATTATTTTAATGGTTAATTTTGCTATTTCTCCAATTGAAGGCGTTTTTCTCATAATATACTTTGAGTAGTGAGAACCGATTTTTATTATCTCCAGTGTCAAGTCCTGTATAGTGGCGAATTAGGGGATATTTCAATAAAATTAGCAAATAGACGTAATTCCAAGGTAGGTTTTTTAGTACTCTGTACTGAGATTATTTACCTGTTGAGTTGTTTATTTTCCTAAATATATATAGTAGCAGGTAGATACATAAAAAGGTAAGAAAACTTATAAATAGAAAATTTCGTCGAGGCCCGTGTCGCGAACTCAACAGAATTTCAAAGCAGTCACTAAACGCTCGTCAAGAGCACATATGTAGCCACCAGACCCAAATAGAAGATGTAGAGAATCTCGACAATAGGTTGCTGATTTACAGGAGTAGTGCCATTAATCGCTAAACAGTGGTGGTTTCTTATAGAAGTACAATTAAATGGTGAACGTCCTTTTTGACCTTTTTGAGTTCACACAAAAAGTTCGTTAAATTGTGGTAGGGATGACATAAAATTCATGTGGTGTTAGTTGATAGGTTCAAAATAGACGCCTACGTAATGTGCGCTTGACGAGCGTTTAGTTACTGCTTTGAAAGTCATATTAAATTTTATTACAAAAATTCCAATGCGTTCGCAACAGGCCGTACCTTGAGACATAGTGCCCAGAAGGCTGGTAACATTTCCCCTGTGAATTGCTAAACTTACATTTTGGCGGAAATAACTGCCAGTCTTGTGGTCACCGGAGGTTTGTACGAGGCGATCCGACAGAAGCTAGAAGTTTCGCCTGTGGCCCCCAGGGACCCAACGTTTCAACCGCAAAAGGCACAAAGCTGTAGCACTGAGCAAGGTTGACGTATTTTTGCTGTTCTCGGCCGCTCTGGCCACAGAGCCTGCGCCAGTCACGCTTTCAAGGACATGAGAGGGGGCTACAGTGTCCACACAAGGTTGCGTCCCACACTAGCTGTAGGTAATATTATTCAAATACTGAACATATGCTAAAATGATTTTCTAAACTTTGACAAATATGCGTGATAATAGATGGCATTGTGTGTTCCAATTAATTTATAAATTACCGTAAACCAAATTTAAAAAAAAACCGTGCAATAAGCGCCATCTAGTTGATTGATTTGTTATCACTAGTAATTGGAGTTGCTTTGATAAATTGCAGCTTGTCAATGTAAAACAATAAAAAACAAAAATAGCTATTTGCCACCCGTCAAATCGACATCTGGTCCAAAAGATACTAAATATCCCACTACGCTGTATTGTGCCGCGATTCGCAGTCCGGTTGAGTTATTGGCCCATGGTTTAATTTATACACGTGGATGTCGCATCCTCCGTATAATAAAACCATGGTATTTAATATGGATGCGATACTGAAGTGTGCTAACAAGTAGAATCCAACCCCAAACGTAATTATTGTCACACCGTTTTTTTTGAATCTGATAATGTCCCTCCAGTTTCACTAAAAAATTACCAGCATATCGATACCTCAAATGATCATCACGCCAATTTACTTTTTGGTGATTTCTGTTTTTTTGTGTCGTAACTTGTTTTTATAAAATTCGAGGAGCATAATATTATTAAAAAAATAATGTTGTTTACATTAAAAACAAAAAATGATGAAAATTAAGTTGACGTTGTGTTCATTGGAGGTATCGATATACCAGATGATCCAGTAATAGGCAAGGAGTTTGGTAGTATGCTAGAAGGAAAATGCAAGAACGTTGAATCTAACAGAAAACATCGTAAATACCGCTTGGCTCTAAAGGTTTTTATTTTAGTAATTCGCACAGATCGACTAAGTTATCTGTAATTAGAAATGTGGCGCTAATGTTGCTACTAATCCAGCTATGGTAACAATGACAACTGTCAATTGACTTGAATACAGGATACCCTGTAGCATTTGTAAATATAATGTTCTACATTTCGCCTCAAATAATGTCTAGTTGGTCTTGGTGGTTGTATATTTCCTATCTTTGTCTACCACACGATCAACCGCCTTCAACGTTTTCCACCTCAAGCATTTTGACACTCTCGCTCTTTACTTTTCCATTATTATCTCCAATGCCTTTGAAATAACATTCAATTTCATAAAGGGTTTTGCCTTTAGTCTCTGGCAAGAGAAAATAAAGGAAACCACCACAGACAGCTGTAAAAATCCCATAAATACAAAAGGTACCGCTAACACCAATAGACCTAAACGACGTCGGCGCAGTTTTCACAACTACAAAAAACATTATAGATAAAAACATTCCAGATATACCACTGCCTATACTCCTGTACGCTAATGGAAATATTTCTCCTGCGATAGCCCAAGGTATAGGCAAAATACCTGAAGTTTTCCCAAAAATATACATTAAAGTCGGAATAACAGGTATCCATTTATAGTCATTAGGAATAAAACCGAAATCTCTTAAGTATAATAATAGTGATGTTATTAATAGGGAGACGACAGTAACTATAATACCAAAGAACAAAACTGTACGCCTGCCGAATTTATCAGTTATAAAACAGGCAAAAATAGCCGTAGCAAACCGTACTGCATCTACGATAAGCATAGATGTATACGGTTTAATACTACCTCCTGTAACCTCGTTCATCATTGGCACAGTATAAGAAGGCACTACAGTCATCCCAGATATTTGGAAAAGTATAAACATGAACATCATTATGAAGGTAGGCTTATAAAATTCTGGTTTCTTTATAATTTTTCTATACATCTTCAATTTTGATTCGTCAGCTTTCGTATTCACTACTTTGTTCTGTTCACTATTGAGTAATACTTCTAATTCGCGTTCTGACTTATCAGTATTGCCTCTTAGCCATCGGAATGATCTTCTACATTCACTGTAGGATCCTTTGGAAGCCAGAAACGGTGGTGTTTCAGGGGTCAAAGAAATTAGGATAAGAGATAAAGCGTAAAAGCTTCCACAGGCAAGCGCGGCTGTTCTCCAATATAAAATGGTCCCAAAGACATGAGCTGTAAACATTCCTGTTGCGAAGGAGAATGCTATGGTGGCAAGGAAGGCGCCTCTGTGTTCTGGTGATGAATATTCTGCAATTGACACTGGCGCACAGGCTGCTTGGACGCCCATTCCGAAACCCTGGAAATAAAAGAGCATTTCAATAAGTTTAGTACGACCATAACACGTGATGTATTACGTACTTTTGTAGTTACAAATACAGGCCTCTCCTTAAAGCTTAAATAAAGTTGTCACGAATCACTAAAGACATATTGTCGAAGACGGTAAAAAACAAATAAACGAGCATAACTTTTTGTGTTAGATATGACGTCCAGGCCAATTAAGGCGAAATATTATGTAAAATGTAAAACTGAAAGTAAAGTCTGGAACCCCTGATGAGATCAACTAAAACATAGAAGGCAACATTGGAAGAGAATGGCCACGAACATAGACTTACAATTATATGGACGTCGGGTCCGCGCTAAAAAGTGTCCGAACTTATAGGGCGTTAAAATCGTATACAGAGCGTCATTCACGCTTTAGTCTTCGTTTGTTCGACTGAACAAGCGAAAAGCGAATAAACAACAAATCACAACAAATCAAAAACAACAAATCGACAGCGAAGCAAGCAAAATTAGACAGTACTGCGATGATATTACAATTTAAATCTAACGTTTTAGCTTTTTCATATTCCTTTACATGTCACTACATTTAAATAGGTTGACTTGGGACATTTTTTTCGTGGTTTTTGCATTAGACCCGTCGTCCATTTATTTGTAAGTCAATGGCCACAAAAGACGTTCTCAGATCAAATCGAGAATATTCCTAAAGTAGCTCGAGTACTGTTGGGTAATTTTCCGAAAAATTACAAATAGTAGAAATTTTTTGAATCAATTTCTGAAAAATTTGAATAATTGAAAAAAATAGAATAATATAATTCGTAGGCTCGTATTATGTTCTTCGTTCAGAAACATCTTTTGAAGTGTTATTTGACGTTAATAATACAATAAAATTATATAGCTAAAAGCAAGTTAGAATAAAACGAGATTTAAAATGATTCGACAAAAGCGAAAAATATTTGGTTCAGTAACTTAAAACTTTTGACAAGATGTCAACGTCAAATGAGGAAAATTATAGGAAAAATATCCGGAAAATATTTGTTTCTCTGAAAAATATGATTTCTCCAAAATGGAATTTTTTCCATGACCAACAATAGGCTAGAGTAAGTGGTGAAAAGAATAAGAAGGCTTGTTTGAAAAGGCGACTGTTACATTGATCATTTGTGTCCGTATTCAATTCAATTATTTATTTATTTAGGTATTAATCCCATAACATTACATTATACATTACACGGTCATAAAAATTTAAACGCAATAAATAAAATAAAAATTAAATTCAAGTTACTGTAATGGGTCGAGAGGCTTGGATACCGGTTTTCTAGGAGTCGCCTTCTTAGGTTTGATCCCCGGCCGGGTCAATGTAGAAAACTAACTTTTTTACATTGTATTGGTCTGGGTGTAACACAAGTACTTTCTTTGGGATCAAAGCAACGTATGTAATATTTATTAATCTATTTTTGGGCAGGGTTAAATCCGCAAGGAAGTTAGGAATGCTTTCGTTGTTCCAAAACGCATTAAAAATAACTAAAAAAAGATAATGGAAATAAACTTATCGAGTTCCTAGGTTTTCGCGATTGTTACACATAGGAAATGAAACTGTTTTTCCGGATTTAAATCGCTTATATTTGTTTTTTCAAACAAACCAACGTTTCGGGCCCTTTACAGGTTTCATGGTCACGTTTGACTGAGGTGGTACAGTCGTCAACCAGTTATGTCTAATATTATTAATTTTAATTTTACAAAGAAACATTACGTTACGTTTTACAAATTATTTTATTGAATGAATATTTATCAAGTTAAATTTATTATTAATTAATAATAGAAAATAGAATAAATTAAAACATATTAATTAGTACTGCAGTCTTTCTTCTATTTTTCATCAGAGGAAATACTGGATCCCAAACTGGTGGTACGGAGAAACTATCTTCCCTGTTGAAATTAGGATGCTTTTTAATTTTAATCAGGAATATTGAAATCCGGAAAAATTGTATCGATTGGTTAAATTGTTCCCATGTGACTCTTGCAAAAAATTATTATCACGTGTGTTAACGCACTCGACTCAGCTGATATCAATTTGCAACAGCGTTGATTGAATCAAGCTAAGTAGTCTAAATGATGGGTGGAAATAAACAGAAAGATAAATTGAACACGTGAGAACTCAATACGGGAAATGAAGTTTAAAATTTATTTGTTGTCGTTACACCCTTTTTTTATAATATAAAGTAACGGGACCAACAAGTCTTACGCCTCGTGGAAGCGTTACGCCACGAGCTGGGCAGTAAGTTTAAACCCCATCAACCCACCCGGGTTTTAACCCATTTCTACCCAAAATCGTAGGCGGAGATGGCGAGTATAGAATTTGGGATAATTCCATTCTTAATACAAATTTCGATTTAAAACGTCTTTTATAGACGAAAATAAGGCATCTCCACACAATATCCACCTTGAAATCCTGTGGATTCTCACTACTAGGGATGCACATCACGATTGGAGTTTTACGAAGATCGATTTTTTGTATCGATTTTCAAGCAAATACATTCAACAGAAAGACAAATCGATTCGTCTAGATCAGAAAGTAAAAAACATTTTGTAACAACAAATATTTAGTTGTAAATAGTTTTTGCCTTCGATTTCTGGTATTAATGGATTTTAACCCGATTTCAATGGCATTAAGAAATCTCTGGTCACGCCTGTCCACAACTTTAAATCTCAAAATTCTAAAGGGCACTGCCACTGCATCCGTCAGGTTGAGACATAAGTTGAAAAGTCCCATGTGCCTGTAATTTCACCAGCGCTCTTATCTTCATCAGCCCTTCAAGTCCGGAACGCAGTAATGCTCACATTGCTGCTCGGCGACAGAAATAGTTAAAGTAGCAGTACTTCACAAGGAGCCTTACTGCTACTACATTAGTGTTTTGTAAACCCCAATTTTATGAAATGACTTTATTCTTTCATACAGTTTGAACTAACGCAAACGCGAGAGTAAAACACCGGGGTAACAAATATGTGCAGTTTCATATAAAACATTATTTGAAAATTAAGTATTTTTCTTTCTGATAAGCATAAAAAATCATAGTACACAATTTTTTAAAAATTACTCAACCGATTTAGCCGTTGGATAAAACATAGTTTTATCCAGCCCCCGTAGCATGGCTACGCATGATAGTCGCGACCCGCGCGATAAAATTGAAATAAGCGCGCTTTTTCAATTAGATCTATATAATATTGGCTATTTCAATTAGATCTGATTGAGACAGCCAATAGCGCTTATTCCAATTTTATCGCGCGCGTCGCGACTATCATGAGTATCCATGCTACGGGGCAGAAATGACAATTTAGTCATTACGAAGTTATTCGGTTTTAATTTATTCCGTTTTTTTTAATCTTATAATCCGCCACATTAGTTTGTGTTTTTAAACACCTGAGGTTGACTTGCCTGTTTTGTACACACCGTAAACTTATCACAAATTAATTCCATGGGTTATTGTAATTTTTGGATAAATGGGTTGATGCCTACTCGTAACTAAAATAAAGTTGTTTCTTTTAATGAGATTAAATTAGATGTAAAAGTATAGTTACTTGTAAAGCCCTACTGGCCAACAAAACACCGGGATCCTTAGCAACCGCAAGCAATGCCCAGCCACCCATGGCTGGCAGTGTACTGAGCTGGTTGGTGAGCCTTCGACCCAGGCGTTGCAGACCGAACGGTGCTACCAGGATGCCTGAGATGAGGCATAATCCGAGGATGGAGGCTGGAATTGTAAAAAAAATGGTGTTGTAATCAGTGTTGCCAGGAGATTAATCGCGTAATGTGTAAGTAACTTTTGTTTTTATGGCAATTTTGATAACTTTTAAATTCAAATATATTTGTTATTGTAAACCCTAAATAATTTAATAACGCACCCAAATTACACAAAAAAGTAACTCAGAAATGGCGCAAATAAAATTAAATCAATTAATAATTATTTTACAGTTAGAATAATAAATGAAAATAAAACGAACTTGTAAAATATAAGTTCTGCAGCAAAAAGTTTCTTTTTAGGTAACGAAATGCATTTTTCGACTCAAGGGCCCTGGCAACACTGGTTATAATCTTTCGAATAAATGGATTTGAGATAAAATATAAAAATTATCAGTTAAAGTCTGCAAACTTAACCTTTTAAGGTCAACTTTACAATTCGTTCTTTCAAATTGGTCCCGTCACTTTATATCATAATAAAAGGGTGTAACGACAACAAATAACATTTTTTTTCATCAGAAGACACCCTTGTCAAAAAAATTATCTATATGACACGTAATATAGTAAAAAGAGTAAATATAAATAGACTTGGTAGTTTTTCACGATTGCTACTAGAGCTTCCTGAAAATCTCGATACCGAAAATTTTATAGTCTCGACCATTTCTTGAAATATTCGAGACTCATCACCGTCAACCCATTAATACGTCCTATTCCTGGGCACTGGGCTGAGAGGACTCCTGGGTGAGGGTTTAGGCTATAGTTCGCCACACTGGCCCAATGTGAGTTAGGGGTTTTCATACGTTTTCGAGGGTTGTAAACCTTCTTTGACGTGCCGGTTTCATCACAGAGTTTTCCTTCTCCGAAAAGCTCATTTTGAGCTTTTAAATTATTGCAAAATAAACAAACAAAATATCCGAAGAATTAATTTTAGCACTAAATCTTATAATTCTACTAATTTTAAGTACGAATAAAATAATAACTAGTGCTATGTAAATAACGAATAATTCCTGGCACCTTTCACAGTTCGTGCTGTTAAACATCGATTGTATCCTAGGCTGCGTTTTACAGTGATTTTATGAAATCGGATTAAAATCTGTTTTTTCAGTGATTTCAACCGTAACATGCGCTATAATATTTGTAACATGTGCTCAGAAGTACAAGTTTTGTATGTGAATAAATAACAAAATCTACTACATCACACATTTTCGACAACTTCAAAGCAATTGGTTGTGTGAGGTTAGGAATGTTCGAGCTCGATTTTAATATCGATAACGACGAATTATCGTAATTTTTTAAAATGATATTAATTTAATTAAACAAAATATTTATATAAATATATAAAAATCAATGTCAATTTACTATTTGATAGCAACTCTCGCCGAGCTTGAATGTGATACCCTGTGTATATAAACAGTTGCAGTGCTGCTCAGAGATTTAAAACACAAAGATCTGACACTGTCACAGGGCCCGCCACCCTGAGACATAGGTTGTTAACGTCTCAATGTGCCTGTAATTTCACCCTTAGGTACCTTTCAAAGCCGAAACGCAGTAATGTTCATATTACTGCTTGACGGCAAAGATAGGTAAGGTTGGAGAACTTCCCTGGACGAACTCTTTCACAGGAAGCTCTACTACTACTTAGATCATAGTAAATTTGAAATTAATTTTCTCACATAATTTAATTTCCGAGAAACCGCTGTTCCACGGTCTTTTTTGAAATTACGAATTAATAGATATAAGAACTATGTCAAATTGGTCAAAGTGTTAAAATTCAAGGAAATTTTTTTACGAAACCATTGCTCTTTGACCCTGACAATGATAATAATGACAAAGTGACTGTCAACTCTGTGACTAACTCTAACATTGTTAATTAGTTCTCCCGTCAAAAATCACTCAACCCTTCAGTCTTGTCGAGAGTCGTACAAACAATACTAGCTCTTCAACGGTGTTTCCTATTACAAATTTAACCACAGGTTAAAGTTCAGACTTATAGCCATTAGACTTTCAGGGAGATCTTCTTATCGCATCGATGGCATACACTTGAAAATGGTATATCATGCTATAGTCAAGTCACATTTATATGATCGTTACAAATATTCTTTTAATTCCGCTAAGTATGCTGCCGAGTGTACAAATCAAAGGGAACCCCAAAAATGACTGGCAACAGTGATCAATCATTCAGTAAATCTAGTTAGTAATGCAATTAAGGAACTCCTGAATTAAATATAACTTAAAACGTTGTCTAGAACGGGATTTTATTTTAAGAATCCGTGTTCATGGAGAATGTTGATAGTGCGTTTACCAACATAAAGAAAGGCAAACAAAAACGCATAAGCATCTGGCAAACTTATTTGTGATCACCGGGTAAACACGTATTCGGTCACATGACGAGATTGAAGCAATCTTGTATGTCCTCGCTGTAATGACGGGGTTATTTGGTCATTGTGGCTTATTTTGAGATTGGCTGGTTGGAAAATTGCTTTCATAATTTGCGCTGACTTATTTTCCGTGTTACTTAGCAAGCAATGTACATTTAATCTCGTATAAACAGTATTTTAATGGTCTTTTTTCACAGAATATGTAATATTCACCCGCCCCACTGCTAACCATAGGTCTCCTCATTAAAGTCGGACATATCACCTCTCATGTATTTCGAAAGAAAACCCATACAGATAGGTATCTCAATGGTAATTCCCATCACCACCCTAGCCAGTTAGCTACCGTGGGCTAATCTTTGTTTCAGAGAGCACATGGTGTCTGCGACAGTAATCATCTGGCAGGGGAACTTCAACATATAAAGCAAGTCCTACATGCGAATAAGTTGAAGATTCCACGCCAATGCCGCAGGCCCCGTGTGAAACCACCAACAGTCGAGCGAAGACCTGCCATCTTACTTTACGTGAGAAGTGTTACAGGCAAGATCGGAAGAGTCCTCAGGCGCGCATCTATCAAGACCTATTTCAAGCCCCTGAGGAAGATTTCTCAGTTCCTGAGACCCGTGAAATGTAACATCCTCTTACAGGATGCAGGAGTTTACAAGCTTGACTGTGAGTGCGGTCTCTCTTTTATTGGACAAACAAAGCGAAGTATTTGTACCCGCGTCAAAGAACATATAGCTGATGTCAAACACCGTCGCGTAAACAAGTCTGCAGTCTGCGAGCATGTCATGGATAAACCTACACATTCAATGAAGTTTGACAAACCCCAGGTCCTTGCAAAAGAAGTCCGTTATCTACCCAGGATGCTGCGAGAGGCCATTGAAATTAAAAAACATCCTAATTTCAACAGGGAAGATGGTTTCTCCGTACCACCAGTTTGGGATCCAGTATTTCCTCTAATGAAAAATCCCAAACAGACATAAGACTGCAGTACTAATTAATATGTTTTAGTTTATTCTAATTTCTATTATTAATTAATAATAAATTGAACTTAATAAAAATTCATTCGATAAAATAATTTGTAAAACTTAATGTAGCGTAAATTGGAATGTTTTCTTTGTAAAATAAAAAATAAGGTATTTAATTAATAACTATTGTAACTATAGTGAAAAAATCGGGTGGTTTGCATCAATATTAGACATAACTGTTTGAAGACTGTACCACCTCAGTCAACCGTGACCATGGGACCTGTAAAGGGCCCGAAACGTCGGTTTGTTTGAAAAAACAAATATACGCGATTTAAATCCGGAAAAATATTTTCATTTCCTATGTGTAACAATCGCGAAAACCTACGAACTCGATATATCACCTCTTATGAAAGATTTCGTTCAAATAAGTACCTACTGTGAGCTTCCGATTTTGTAATGGTGCTGGTGACGAGAAGAACAAGTCCTGCGCCTGATGGTAAGCGACACGCCTGTCCATAACAGTTGCAGTGCCACTCAGAGCTTTAAATTCTAAAGATTTGACTGTCACTGCGCCAGTCTCCCTGAGACGTAAGTTGACAAGTCTCATGTGCCTTTAATTTCACCAGCACCCTTAACCTTTTTTTTTTTTTTTTTTTATATACATGACAGGCAAATGACTCCACTCCACCTGATGTTAAGTGGAAAGTGGTATCCAAACGCGAAGGAACCTAGTGCAGCGATGAAATCCTCACTGCACTAGCCACCTCCACCCTGCCTGCCTACAATATGCCTCTTCACGCCTCGTTTGAAGGACCCCATATCATAAGAGGGAGGGAAGACATGTGCCGGAAGGGAGTTCCATTTGTCAACCGTGCGGCAGAGAAAGGAGCCACCGAACCTTTTAGTACGCGATGGAATTCGGCAGGTAGTGAAACGGTGACTACGAAGGCCAGCACGCGTGCTTCTGAGCAGGAACGGGGAAGGGGGGATGAGGTTGAACAGCTCTTCAGAGCACTCACTCACTCACTCAACCTTCCAAATCGGAACACAGTAATACTGACATTACTGCTTGGCGGCAGAAATAATATACATATATTAACGTGTACATTATTCTCACCGATCCAGGACTCGTGTTCTTCAGTCAGCTGCACAGCGGTATCAGGTTCTCTTAATTGCTGCAGCAGCACTCCTGGGAAGGCGATGTTGGCGCCCGTGCCGATCATGTATAGAACCACTCCGCTTACTGCTAGCAACTGGAAAAAGATTCAGTATTTAATAATGACAACGCACACACTCATAGCCCTGCACTAGGGAAACCCTGTATCGCGGATGCCATGGAAACACTCATAGACCGTCGTAAATTTGCCTGTTTATCGGTATTCTTCCAGGATATACCACGGAGAATATGCGATGGGATTGCGTGATTTGAGTCCGCCTTCCCCTTTCCATCAACGGGGGACTAGACGTGAGCTGGGGTTCCCTATGTTATGGATATTACAATCTAAAGATTCGCACGAAGCGTTACGCTTCCATATTTGTATGGCGTACGGCTATGGAGTGGAATTCCCTGCCTGCAAACTTCTTCTCTGAACGTTATAACTTGGATCTTTTCAAGGCGGGAATGAACAGGCATTATTTAGGTGTGCATGCCGACCTCATAGTCCTTTCCATCAGGTGAGATGGACGTCAAACGCGCACTGATTTCTAGTATAAAAAAAGACATATCGACAACCACAAATTACATCCAATATCACGAGAGAAATAAATATAGGCCAATATTTCTCACACGTGACACTTCAGCAGCAACGGTTACACTTACAGTTCGCTAGTGAGTACTCGGGTTTAGTAATAAACTTGTATATTACATTTTAAGGTTTAAGAATACTTTATCATGACCGTTACCGACTTCTCGACCGGCAAAAGTTAGCAACTCTATTCCAGTTATCGAATAAAAGTTTCATCAGTATTCAACGGTAACTTATCGAGTGATCCGTCCAGTTAAGGTTATCGATTCTTAAAAAAAGTGTTTTTAAGTTCCTTATCCATTAATTACAATCTTGGAAATTAAACTTGTGTTGTGGAGTATAGTGTCTTTTTTCAGAATAAATTCGTGATAAACCCGCATATCATTGCTATGGCTCTGTTGTGGCTGCAGGCCCCAGACTCGATCGAAATGTGAGATGATCAGTCGTTTTTGATTACTTAAATGATATTTATCTTTAAATTAATCAAGTAATTTACCATTATTTACAACCATATTAAATAACAACTTTTGATTAGTACATACAAAAGTAAAAGTCCGTTGTGTATAATGTAGTCTTTGGTAAAGTTACTTGTTGTTTTTTTAATTCTCTTCATTAAGAAAAAATCCGCTCTGGACCTTTTGGAGGGAAAAGTGTCGTTTTTATTTTGACTTTCAATTATTTTGAGAAATCTAATTTAAAGTGGAATAGGATAGTGCTATTGTGCCTTAATCGAAGATTAAAACGCGAAATTATACGAATATCGAACTAGAATATCCGTATCGGCCCGTTTTAAGGAATCCCGAGTCAATCCAAGCACGCCGCCTCAAATTGCCTATCCTCTTTGTGGCGGTCATATTTACAGAAACATAATTAAACTTCATGTTTAGGCTGATGGCTTTGCCAAAGCCTTAATAATTTTTTTTTTTAATTATTAACAAAATGCAAAGGTTTATGGTTCCGTTCTGACAGTTACGTGTACTTTTACAAAGCGAAAGGTACGTGTGAAATTCTGTTATTTGTTTAATAAAATCTAGTATTTATGAATATTATTAATTTATTCCAAAGTAAGACTAAAGTGTTAAAATCTTTTAGGCCTTTATTGTCTCAAAATTTCCATAAAGGATTTTTCTCCTTTTTTAAATCTACTTTACCGACTAACTTCGTAAAAGCAACATGGAATCTAATTGATACCCATATCGTATCCGAATTCGAATATAATATTCACCACGAATGTTTTGAATAGCCCGAAATGGAATATTCGAGAACGACATCCAATCGAACGATTCGGTTAAAATAGCGAAAAGTTCTGAATCATGTTGCTGGCAATCTGGTTATCTGTTATATACTCCCGGACACGTAATTCGAGCCACCTCGCATTTTTGTCGTAAAGTGTCAGAATACAAAAACAGTGTTATCATGGAAGAAAAGATTTTCCCCCGGTTTTTCAAAATCCGAATTCCCAACAAGGATATATGGAAATGAAGTTTAGTATACTAGTTTCAAATTTGTGTAATAGTTTTTGATACTGAAAATGCGTGGTGGCTCGAATTAGGTGTACGAAAGTGTATAATTATAATTACCTGTCTATAAAATGGTGAGATCTTCTGTCTCTGCGTATACACGACTTCTGTCATTTTGGCTCTTTATGTTCTCCTTCTCTTCTAATATCTTCTTTTCTCGAGTATCATTTATCACAGCACTGGTTAGGTGGGTTGAGTATCTAAAAACAAATTAAAACTTGTTATAACAAAGATCGAAACAATAAGAAAAATTCATTCGATTCATTGGATTGGAACCAGCACCCTCAGGCAATCCGTGCCAGATGCTCTGTTAATTAAGCCTCGGAACGAACCAATACACCTTACGAATATTTCTATGTGCTCGTTGCAGATCTTCGTTTTTGGTTTTTAACGACTTGTTCGCCGTAGTGTAATCTGTGAGAAATTTATTTCTTCACTCAGAGAGATACCTCTATAGCTACCATCACTGACTAGAGTGACCTTTAATAAAAAAATAAATAATAAATAAAAAGACATTTATTTCTCCACAAGACATAAGAAACAATATTTAAGAAACGAATACAAAAAACAATTGAGTGATGCGGACAAAAAGGTGCCCATTTTCAGTCTTCACCTGTATTTAGCTGTTCGCTTGCTGCACCAATCTAATATGCGGAGTATACACCAAGTCATAACTAGTAATAAGTTAAAATTTAATGGCTGTCCGTGTAAAGTTATATATTTTTATTTATGTAACCAAAAATTTTATAATTATTAATACAAAGATCGAACACTCAGAAAAAACACTCAGAAAAAATTCCTTCGATCCGGTCGGATTCGAACCGACGTCTTCTTGCATACCGTGCCAGACGCTATACCAACTAAGCCACGGAACGAACCGAATTTTTCTATGTGCTTGCGTCGTGTCTTTGTACTTGGTCTTTCAACGACTTTTTAGTCGTAGCGCCATCTATGAGAAATCCATGACAGATTTATAACCCAGTTAGTACCTTTACAGCTACCAGTCCTGGCGAAATTTTATGTTTTGTGCTGCTAGGAGTTTTAATTGGGGACCAGTTGTTACTCGATTTCTGTACAGATAGCTTACATCGGTTTTTAAAAGTAACCAGCGTAATGTAATCCAACCAGATGGAATGATTTTTTCCATGCGTTCGGTCTTTGTTATTAATAATTATAACAAACTATTGGAGTAATTTCACAAAAAAAAAAATATGGTAGTAAAACAACGTGACATTCAATTGATTTTTTTTAGTCTATTTAATTTTCATTTCTTTAGTCATACAAACGATAACACTACTCTGTCAGTGACAGGAAAAGAACCTTAGGTCCATTGGAATTAAGATGTTGTTACTAACATTGCTTTAGAATGTTAAAAACTATACAACGACAAAAGATGTTAAGAGTCTATATATACTACCTTTTTGTTTCAGCATAACAGTGAAACTGTTGAATCAATCGCTTTGAAAAAAAAATTAGTAATAATAATAAAAATTAGTATATTGATTACTATAAAGTGTGATAACACGATTCCTTAAAATTTTCACGATAGAAAAAAACAAAAAACAACTACAAAATAGAACACGTATACCATTGACTTACAAATAAATGGACGACGGGTCTAATACAAAA